CTTTTCGTATTTTTAGATTTAATAATCCTGGAATTTCCCAAACTTTGAGCCTGGTATGCTGCTGATCTGCTTTTGGTCAAATACCCGTTTCAGCTGTAAATAAATAGCAACAAATGGAGTCCTGGGCAGCTTTCACACCGACAGTCTGCATAGCCCCTTGGATTACGTACCCCTGATTGGAAATACTCGGCACGGCGGTATAATCTTTAGGCTTTGCATGCAGACAATACATGTTGTGGGATCAGTCGGTGGTTGGTTTTAATGGGATTTGTGATTAAGGTTCCTATCTAAGTGGATTCCTCAGAGGTGTGTTCAGTCCACGATCTGATGCCTTTTTTTTTTTTACCAGAGTTTGACTGTTTATTAAATTCTCGAGTAATTGTTGTGTGTAAAGTAGGAAAAAAATGTATCTGCATTTCTATCCTTAAAAACTAAAGGATATTCCAGTTTTAAAGATTTACTATAGTATAATGTGTATTCTACGAAAACATTTCAATGTTTTTAAGGTGAAAGAGCTTCTTTAATCTTCATCAAATAACATTTTGGAGTGATCATAATTTTTACTCCTTACCAAGAACCAATCTTCAAAATGCAGAGTAAAAACTGAAAACCATTGTATTTTGAATGGCACTGGACTCGATTATACATTGTTTGAAAGCACAAAGCCGCATGGCTCAAAGAGTGTGGTCATTTTAGGACACCAATACCACGTCAGCAAATAGTTTTATACTTGCACACGTAGCAGAATAGCTTATTTTTCTGTTTTATTGTCTGTGTGGCTGCAAACCTGTTAAATCTCAGCGTGCTAAAGTTTATTTCCGCCAACAAAGTCCAACTCACAAAATGCTTTCTGCTTCTTCTTCTTCTTTGGTAAAAAATGGTGGTGAATGTCATAGGGTTACTTCTGTTGGGGTTGGGTCAGAAAACCCTCTGGGAAAAGTATAAATGTTCCTGATACTGGTAAAACAGAAATATCTACTCTGCTATACTTCTGTTTATTCTTAGTGCATAAGATTAGAGATTAAATTCTAAACACTAAAGAATAAAACACAGCAGAAATCATTAAAATAAGTTATCTCGTTAGGTTTTTAAAATTGGGCCGGCTACACTTGAGCTTCTTTTTTGAAGCTGGTGTTTAATGTTTGCTGAAGAAGTCTCAGTTAAGCTCTAGAGTAACTTAGAGGGCACCGTGTGTGCTTTTATAGTGCTGTTTATATTTTGTCAACACAAACAGCTCACTGTGGTCCGTTGAAAACACACACACACACACACAAAAAAAGAAAAAGAAAATAATGTAATCTTAAATGTCAAGGTTCTGGCTTAATATCTCTAAATTTTGTGTTACTTCTGAGCAAGTCAAAATGTTGCGATACAAACATGAAATTTGGACCAAAACATTTTTGTATCAGTGGCGTAAACAAACTTCCACAGATCACATGCAGTATGAGGGGGAAGAATCAAGCCCACAAGGATGAGCCAAAATGTGCATTTTCTCTAGTGGCCAATTCCTGGCTGTAAAAGTGAGTCGACCCATATAGACTCATGTTAAAATGTCCAAATTTCCAGCATTAAAACGCACATTTACAGCCCAGTACCTCTATGGATAGTCTTACCCTTCACAAAAATGCCTGAAAGGGATTAAATTTTTTATAACTTATCCATTTGAACACTAGAATAAAAGGCTCTTTTAGTCACTTAACTGGACCACTGCACTCTGGCTGTGTTGTTGGTGCCTTTAGGAGCATTTTCATGGACAGATGATAAACATTACAGCTTCAATCTATTCAAAAAGTTTGTGCTTCAGTTTTGGTAAATGTAATCTTAGTATTTTAATCTGTTACTTTGCACTAATGATTAGATGTGAGTGTCTGCGCAATGCAGGGATGTAAGTAGTTAGTAACAGCTTGCTAACACCTAACAAAACAATCTGACATTAGCTGATAGCTTAGCACTCCACCCTTTCATCCAATCTGGCAAACATCTGGCTCCAAAAAGCCAACATGCCAGCAAGGGCTAACGTCAAAGCTCCAAAATGCATATTTGAAAACCAGCTGTTGACATCTGTCTGTTTATCCTGTGAATCATTTTGATCCAGTCAATCAAAATGTCCAACTCTAAGCACTAAAAAGCATGTTTACACCCTGGTGCTGGAAATGGTTTTAGTGTCGAAAGCTGATATTCTCTTTTATAACAACACAACAATGATCACCCTTGAATTTGTTAACAATTAAATTTAGGGGCGCGGTTGATTTGATTGAGAGGAGCACCAACACAGGCAGCTGCAGGCGATCTGCTTAGGCCTCAATTTGTGGTGTCAGTTCCTTCAGGAGCACATCACTGGAGTTATGTGATAAATAATAAGGCTGACTGTGAAATATGTGCTGTCTAACAGTTTTGCTCTTTGATTTGGGAGAAATTATTTTTATCAATCTGTTACTAGTTAGCAGGTTTCTGTGTCTGCGTGATGCACCTGTGCAGTTTATGGGTGAGGATTCCAGGTGTTAACTTTGCACTCAATTCTCTCCTCTAAATATAGTCACTTCTGGGAACAGAAAACAAAGATGGCGTGGGTCATAAAACAAGATTTAATTCCCCAACATGTGAATCCAGAAACTAATTAATTCTGTTTCATATAAAGTATTAAATTAAACTTATACTTTAGATTCCTATATTGAAATGGTTCAAGAAATGCTCAAATGTTTAATTTAAACTACTTTCCCTGTTGATAAAACACAAAATGATAATTATCCTTTCTTAGGCTTTTGAATGTGAGGTGCAGAGCTTGAAATAGCTGAGAATAAGACGTTTGCGGTGGAGAGGGCAGGGGTTAGTGAGTAGAGACGCTCCAGACTTCCAGGCAAGAATCATCTCGCTCCAGCTGCCAAAGGAATAAAGTGTTGGGAGCTGTCCATGGTGCTGAAATCAACCACTATCTCTGTGAACAGGGAATAGAAGGAACTGGCCGTGATGCCGAGATACTCATGCTGCAAGGTGAATGGCACGTCTCACAACAAAAGTGAGCATCAGGTGCATGCATATGTACACACTGGCTGTCGTTCAGTCAAGCTGCTGCTATCCAAACACACACTCTGCCCAGAGAAATGTGTTGAATATGACAAATGCAGGCGTAGAAATAGCATTCGAGAGCAGCAGCCTTAATAAGGAGCAGTGGGTATTACCACATGCATAATGTAACACAGAACTGAAGTAGATATCACACGTATGTGCTCATAAAGCCCACTCCTCCACATGAGCATCCCATCATCTTTCTTTCTGTTTCTGTCTTTGCCCATATGCTTTTCTCTTTGGTTATCTCTCACATGCAGGGGATATAAAAAGAGACAGAGAGAGACAGCTCTCCTAATCTGTTCTTTGACCTATAGTTTGAAAGCTGCAGCCGCTCTAAAATGTTTTTCATCCGTAGCTCACTGAAGATGGGCTCTGTGGTGCGTGGCTTCAAGGCAGCCCGCATCGCACACCTGCTAAGGGTCAATGATCATCTCAGCCCACGGGGGCACAAACGTAAAGCCAGGCCTCCACTGGATATGGGCAGGTTGCTGACCAGCCCAGAAATGCCTGGCTAAACTTTATTCCTTCCATCCCCTCTCTGAGCTCATAGCGATTCAGTGCATGTGTGTATCGGCTGGCTATTCCAGAGTCAGCCTCCCACCCTCATCCCTTGTGGGAGATAAGTATTGTTTGCGTAGCAGCACATTTCATGCTCGGCTTCCCCCACCTGTTCCCTGACCTGCGAAGTCTGAAGGCTGGAAACGCTGTCAAACGTCTCCACACACATCTTTTGAGGCTGATTGAAAGGTTTTTGTCTAGAGCTCTAAAAGTTTCCCTCAGCGGAGCACAAAAACAAAACTTTGGTCAAGGATTCCAGCAGCTATTTAAAAGGGGAACGTCACATGGGTTGTCCGGGATTTAGTGTTCTTTTTGGATTTGTTGCCTGCGGGTTTTGCGGGTGAGATCTGGCTGATACAGCAAGGTCAAACTATTAATCAAATCTATCAAGCCTGATTTGCATAATGAGCTGTTACAGAATTTCCAGCCAACTCCTTTCCCCTCTTCATTGACTCATTTAGTGAGTTTAAGTTTCCCAGCTTCTCTGCGTAAAGCCTGACTGTGTCAACCAGTTATCAATCCCACATGCATCAAGGCTTGTGTGTGCAGCAAGACAAACAGGGCAGAGAAGCACAGCTGTGTCTGGTTCAGCTGGCAGGAATCTGTTTCCTTTTGCATACCAGCGATTTGCATTCATAAAGTTGTATGAATTTTGCACAATGCTGTCACTGGAAGGCAAATGTGAAGAGCAAAAGAGCTGAATGCCTTCACCTTTTCCAGTCGCTCTCTATAGAAACAAATTACACATTTACAGTGGAGATCTTTCTAACTGTAGCA